ACACCGAGGGTTGCGATCCTGTTGCTGGTCCCGGTCTGGTACGGGCGTGACACTGAGGGTTGCGATCCGTTGCCGGTCATGAAAAAAGACAAAAAAAGGAAAAAAAAAAAAGAATTTTTTCTACTGAATGGTTGATAACCTGGCCTCCTTGCTTTCGGTACCATGATTCTTTCAACAATTATCTTGAAATTTTAGGATCATGTCTTTCTCTCTCTCTCTCACATACACACACACACACACACACACACACCTTTGTAATAATCACTTGGTTTTTGTTTTCTTTTTTTTTTGGCATCTATTAGACTAGTCCTGCAGTTTTTTCCTTTAATCTAAGTATTATGTTACTGAATTCCTTGCATTTAATATTCATATATATTACTGAATGGTATTTAAGAGTTTGATGTCTCTCCTCACAGGTAAGATTATTTTGTGTTTTTATTTTTTGTATTATCTTTGAGTTTTGGCATCTAGGTTTTGCTGGCTTCATAAAATGAATTTGGAAGACTTTTTTTTACTATCATCTATTAATAATTGATATTACAATTATATTTTCTTTAAAGGTTAGATAGAAACCAAGCATAATAATCTGGACTTGATATCTTTTTACAGGAATGAGAGGAGCCACTGGCTGTAGTTTTTTTGTGCCAAAGCTGCTCTTCAGTTCCTTCCATATAGCAGTTTATCTGCACTTAAATTTTCACATAAGCATCTTCCAAGCTAGGCTTTTAAGAAAATTCTGTCTTTTTTTGGAGAGGGAATTTTGCCATTTGTAAAGGCACTAGAAATGATTGTTTACTAAGGTTACCTGGTTTTAAATACTGTGGTCTACTGAAAAGATCAAAACAGGACAGGAAATATTTCAGTTACTTTCTTGAAGTTTTTGTTTTTAATTTTTTTATTTCCCTTTTAGTACTGTTGTAATAGATTTTACTCTCTTTCCAAGAAGGCATTGCAAGGCCAAATCTATGTATCTACTGTTAACTTTACAATATCTTATTCTACTTTTTAATAAATTTCTATTTTATAAGAATCATCAAAGTTCTTTCTCTAACTCTCCTTGGGAATCTGAAAGAATTTTCTCTCCCAAACTCATCATTTCTAATTCCATCTAGGGTTATTGTGATTTTTCTTCATTCTTTGGATTTAAAATTACTTTTGAGAGTTAAAAAACCTGACTTCCAGACACTCATAATCTGGCCCCATCCTTCCAAACCAAATCTTGTCATTTTCTACTCCCTAGCAAGAAAATTTCATTCAAATCAGCTCAGTCTCCTCATTTCCTCTATACTTTCTCTAATCATTTTTTCCCTTCCCCCCCCCTCCAATTCCTTGAAGGAGTAGTTATTTATGCTAACTGCACATGAGTTTTATCTCTGGAGCTTTGAAAAAAAAAATGATGTGGGTAGTAGAGTTCTGAATTTACTGGACAAAAGCAAGAATCACTGAACTAGGATTAATTTTTTTCTCATTCTATTCTGAAAATAGCTTCAAGCTTCAGTTTTAACTGAATACCTGTTATGACTAAGACACGAAGATAAGTGATGAAGGGTCAAAAAGATAAACTAAATATGTTTTGATCTCAGAGTAGCTAATCGTCATCGTAGAAAACACAGTCAACTTTAAAATATAAAATTCTTACTTATAAAGTAGTTTTGCTTGGGTAGTCAGTATGCTCATCATAGAGAGCAATTTAGAGAAAATATTAATTATTTTTTAATAATTATGTATTTGAGTGCTAGGCACTGTTCTAGGCTGTGAGGATATATAAGAAAATAAAACAATATAAAAATCCTTGTCCTCCTGGACTTTATTGAGTCAGGAAGACACATGCCATTAATAAAATAAATAAAGTGGGTCATGTGTTATGGAGCAATTAGTTATCAAACTCTCTGTGCTTGTGGAGATTGGAAGAGATGGGGGATTGTTGCCATTCTAAATGAGATGGTCAGAGAAACTTCACTGATAAGGAGACACTGGAGTAAAGGGATGAATGAACTTCCAGGCAGAAGGAACAGTAAATGCGAAGATCCTGCAATGGGAATATACTTGGCATGTTCAGTGAGGCCAGCTATGATTAGAGAGTGGTGAGTAAGGATGAGAACAGTAAGAGATGAAGATAGAAAAGTAGCAGAGGGCCAGGTCATGTAATGCCTTGTGAACTGAAGGACCTTCGTGAAGCCATTGGAAGGTTTTGAGCAAAAGAATGGCATGTGGTCTGCAGTTATAGTTTTAAAAGATTACTCTAGCTACTGTGCCATCCTAGGCATGAAACAGGACAGACCACTTCAGAGACTATTGGTATAAACTCAGAGGGAAATGACGGTGGCTTAGACCAGGGTGGAAAATGGTAAAGCGGGTGAATATATTTTGATTTGGAGATGGACATGATGTCAGGTGTAAGAAAAAGAGAGTCAAGGGTGATGCTAAAGTTTTTGGTTTGAGCCCCTCAAAGAATGGAGTTTCTCGTTTTCTGAGATGAAGAGACTTGTAGAAAAAATCAAGTGTTTTGACAGTGGGGTGTGATCAGAAGTTAGTCTTTGAACATATTAAATTTGAGATGCTTATTAGTCTAGTAGAAATGTTCAGTAGGCAGTTGGAAAAAAAGAGTCTGAAGTTGAGAGGAAAGAACAGAGCTGGATTTTAAATGTGGGCTTCATTTGTTTATATTTGACATATAAGGACTTAAGATTGGATGAGACCACCTAGGGAGTAAGGGTAGCTAGATAAAAGACATCTAACACTTTTTGGAGATATGAGAAATTTTCAAAGGCATTATAAAAGAAAATGTTGCAATACCTGACTGTAGAAAAAATTTAAAACCTCTATCATTGCTTCTCAAACTTTAATGTGCATGTGAACCATTTTGTTAAAGTTCAGTACATCTGAGATGGAGCCTGGGATTCGGCATTTCTAACAAGCTTCCAGAAGTTGCTGATGCTGCTGGTCTAGGGACCACACTTACAGTAGCAGGACTTTATAATGACAAAAGAGTCATAAAGTGAAAAACAAGTAAAAGACTAACATTTGTAGAAAAAGAAGGATTAATATCCAGAATAAAGAATATCTATAAATCAATAAGAAAAAACAAACAACTCAATAGAGTAAAAGGGAGTATAGGAAATTTTCCAAAAACTCAAATGGCCAATAAACATGTAAAATGCTCAGCTTTTAGGAAATACAGGTTAAAACAACATGATCACCTTTTTTCCCCTTCATATTGATGAAAGTTTAGAAGTTCGAGAATACTCAATGTTGGTGAGATTGTGGGGAGAAGGGTGGACTCATATCCTGCAGATAGGAGTATGATTTCATACATTTCTTCTTTGGAAGGCTATTTGGCACATTTATTAAATTTTAAAATATGCATATCCTTCAATCCGGGAATCCTATAGCTAGATTTCAAAAAGAAAACTTGCACCTTTGCCCAGAAAGGCAGTTCAGAACTGTTTGTTGAAGCATTGTTTGAAGTTGAGAAGAATGGTATAATCTAAATGTCCTTTAGGAAGAGAATTATTAAATAAACAAAGGTTCTTAAAACACTTTTGCTCATTTATTTCCCTTTGTACATTTTTAAATGATATCTCACTTTTTAATTATAACTTTAAATAGTTTAAAGGCCATAATTTTTAGATGTGTTATGTTTATGTTAAGTTCATTTTTTGGTCAAACCTTAAAACTGCACATTTAGGGCCGGCCCCGTGGCACACTCGGGAGAGTGCGGCGCTGGGAGCATTGCTCCCACCGCGGGTTCGGATCCTGTATAGGAATGGCCGGTGCACTCACTGGCTGAGCGCGGTGTGGGCGACACCACACCAAGGGTTGTGATCCCCTTACCGGTCACGAAAAAGACAAAAAAGAAAAAAAAAAACTGCACATTTAGGTCGTACCATTTATAGATAGTATTTACCATGTAATGTAATTTGCAAGCCAGTTCTCACTGTCAAACCAGACAAATTAGACTCATTTTGCATTGAGAAAAAAATGACTTATTTATCTTAAAGCAAACATGTTAATATGTGCCTTTACTATAACCACTAGACTTCTGAATTCTAGGCCGGCTGATGGATAAGGCTTGGAGCATTGCCACAGACTTGTTTCATTGATAAAATAAGGTCCTGCTCTCAGTTTTTTGTGTTTTTTTTTGTTTTTTGTTTTTTCTTTTTCTTTTCTGTCAAGGGTTTTCTGTCTTGTTTACATGGTCTATTTGTTAGGTACTTTGGAGTTTATATTCATATATCTCTGAACAGTGCATTTTAGTAGTAGTTGAGGTGGGTAAGAACTTTGCCTTTTTTTGAGAAAGTGGAGAAAGGTGATTTTAAAAGGGGAAGTAGGCAAGGAGATGAATTCTTAAGCAGATCAATTAGGGAGACTGCAAATAGAAGTTAAGAGCTGGAAATTGATTCTCTTACAATTATCCATGTCTACCCAACCACTGATTAACATTGGTTTGGAGACTGTTGAAAGAAGCAGTCATTATAATAATATGAAGTGAATGCTTATTAAAACCATTAAAAAGCAGTAAAATAGATATGAACTGATGTGGAAAGAATTCTGAGGTATTGTTATTCAGTGAAAAAAGCAAGTGTTAAAATAGTATTTATATTATATGCATTTGTATATTTTATATATGTTTATATTTATGGTTTTTATGTAAGTAAAAAGATGTAGTAGGTTGCTCACCAAATGGTATACAGCGCTTATCTTTTTGACCAGGGAGTGGGGGCAGGGATGTATGGGATTTTCATGGTTAATTCTGAATATTCATGTACTATTTGAATCTTTTACAGTTCAGAATATATTGTATTACCAGTGTAGAAAAAATTTTAAAGACATTAATAATAAAAGGGAAAAACCACTGTACTAAATGATCTTTAAGCTCTAAACTTGGAGGAACACTTGACAACTAGGGTTGGTTACTGCAATGTAATTGTCTACATTAAAATATTTCTAATTCATATGCTAAGTGATTTTTATTAAAATTCTTTTAAAATATTTTTTAGGTGTGGAATATCAAACAAATGATTAAGTTGACACAGGAACATATAGAGGCTCTATTGGACAAATTTGGTGGGGAACATAATCCACCATCAATATATCTGGAGGTAAGCTTTTGAGTATCATATCTGTAGTAATTTTGGAAAGAAAAAAATGAATTTATAAAAAACATTTGTACTGTTAATCTTGGTTATTTTAGGGGGTCAGATTAGGCATAGATATGGGAAGAGATAATTAGCTTTGTCTTTATTATACTTCTTAATCTTGTTTTATTTCACTTGCTACAATAAATATGTCTTCCTTTTGTATTTTGGAATACATCAAAACTAAGAGAGAAGTCTTATATGAACTTGAAGATGTTATGCTAAATAAAAAACAAATTAAAAAAAGAGAGAAAGCACACAATTTTGGAGGTCAGCAAACGAGTTATCATATGAGAAAATGGGGCAATTTTGTAAAATATCTTTTGAAGAACGAGTCCCACCAAAATTGGTTTCTACTTTCTTATTGGTAAAATTTATAATCTTTAAATAGCCCAACAATGCTTAGCTTTACTCTTTAATAATGCCTTGAGATTTGTGTCAAGACTTGAACATGGTTGTAAATTTATGGTTAGCGTTCTTAATCCTATAAGATAGTGGGTACTATCATAACCACAGATAAGCTTTCTTAGCATTGGTTTATTTCTGTGAATCAGTTGGGTTCCACAGTGAGTGTGCTGTTCTGGAATCTAGGCAGTCAGGCTCTGCAGTCCACACTGCTCACCACTACCGTGCACTGCCCTTCTGTATAAATGCTGGCTCATACACTAGTCACTAGTTATACAGAGAGATAACCCTAAATTATAAATGATCAGGTTACCATTTGGTTTCTTATGCCAGAGATTTTTAAGCATAGGTTGAAAGACAAACTAAATTTCTAATTTAGTAATCTAATTAATTTTTTAAGGGGGAAAGTCTTCAGTATTTCACAAGAAAGTAAGTTTGCATTTCTAAAATAAACTTGGAAGCTTGGAAATAACAGCTAATAAACTGTTTTCTTCTTTCTCCTCTTCTTCATATAGCTTATCCCAGATCACACTGCTAGTTAGTATCAATGCTAGGACTAGTTCCTGTACTTTATAATATTCCATTCTGTCTCTTTTACCTGTGTGTCTTATGAGACCAAGCAAAGGAGTCACGAGGAGGCAAATAGTCTTAATGAAAATTGTAATTCTGTGTTAATCAGAATTAAACAATTTAACCAGCAGTTTTTCTGCCAACCATTTCTGTGTGTTGGGGACTGTCCCCTAAGGTCAGATATAATGCATTTGCATCAATAATCATATCTCACTGTAGCAGTGATTAACTGCCTCTTCCACATACACTCTCTTCAGACTTTTCGCTGTTCAAAGGCCAATCATTAACAACAGACTTCGAGATTAATCTTATTATTCTGTGTCCGGTACTGTGTTAAAAGCATTTATTACTTAATTTAATCCTTAGACCTAGATACTAGGTTCTAGGAATTTTTGTTATCCCTGTTTTACCAGTGAAGAAACAGTAAGTAACTTACCTAGGGTAACACTGTAGTAAGGGGAAGAATGCAGATACCTAACTTAGAAGTCTATGCTCTTTTTTTTTGTCTTTTTTTTTCGTGTCCGGCAACGGATCACAACCCTCAGTGTTGCGCCCGTACCGGGCCAGGACCGGCAACGGGATCGCATCCCTCGGTGTTGCT